CCGTTTGGGTGTGTGTAATGTAATTTGGAAAATTCGGGAGTTCGGTCTGTGTTTTGGCGTCAAGGGTTATTTTGTTTGGGAAGTTTTAACGAATAGATAAGTTGATAGAAGTGTAGAGCTTACTTTTCCATAGATAAAAAGAATGTCAAGACCAGAGTTAGAACGAAGAAGCTATGACTGTTTGAACGTTGGGTGGTTTTGGGCCCAGCTAAGTACACTAGACATACAATGACGTGTACTTTGGGTGTACTTAGAGAATCTTGAGTATGTTGGGCGTACCAGGAGTATGCTGGTTGTACGAAATTAGTGCCTAAACCCTATTTTCATGGTTTGAGCCCTATTTAAGCTCCTTAAATCCCCCCCCAAACCCACTCCATTCTCAGCTACCACCCCTCCAACACCCCTTCCAGGATACCCTAACCCTAGTTGACCCTTCTGTGATAAAATAAGGTGTTTTTGAGTGCTTTGGAGCATGAATGGTGCACCTTGGAGAAGAAGGAACTTCATGGGGAAGTGTTTCTTGCATTAGAGCTTGTAGTCTGGACTTTTTTCACCTTGATCTATCTTACAGAGGTATAAAGTTTGAATCTTGATGATGCATTTGTTAGATCTAACTAGTTTTGGATGTTATGAGCTTTTGGTCATTTTAGTGCATAAACTTTATATCTTGGAAGTTTGTGACCTTGTAATGGATAAAGTTGGAAACCTTATCCATCTAAACATCATTTTGATTCAGATCTGAAAGTTAGAGACTTGTACTTAATGGATTAAGTTGAAAAAGATGATCCTTTGGCTCCCTTTGAGACTTAAAGACTAGATCTTGTTTATCGGGACCATTCTAGTGTATATAGTTGGAAACATTATCCACTATAAAGCTATTATGAACTATAAAAATGTGATCTTGGCTCTTCTATCCCTTCCATTCAAGAGTGGTGATATCATAATGGGTTATGAACTTAGGGTTTTGGACATTAAACACTTTATAACCATGCAAAGTCAAAAAGTTGGAAACTTATCACTTAGAGCATCATTGTGGGCTTAGATATGAGTTTTGGATGTAAGTGATGGGAGCATTCTAACACTCCTATGGTGTACAACAACCCTATAAACCTTGGATCTATGTTTTCTCTATTATACATGCAAATATTCAATATTCCAAGGTTTCATCCTAAGTAGCATAATACGAACCAACTATACTACAAAAGCCTAGTTAGATGACATACCTTTTAATGAAGCCTGAAGTCTTGAACTTTAAGAGCTTAGCCCCAATAGTGTGAAAGCCTCAAGTGGAATCACAAATCACCAAAACACCTTGAAAAACTTGAAAGAATAGTAAGCACACTAGAAATTGGCCCACTCTTGTATACTCACACACTAGTACATTTCATGTGCAAGGACCTCTTTATATAGTATGGTGGATTAGGGTTTCATCCATGTAAACCCCAATACCCATGACCTTTCATTTCCATAGGATCCATGGGTTAAAAACTCCATGGACTATCCGTGCAAGCTTAGCCCAACCTAAATGAACTTGTCCCCATGCTATATATATATATATATATATATATATATATATATATATATATATATATATATATATATATATATATATATATATATAAGAGTCCATATTTAATTAGTTCCTTTTTTATCACTAAATTAATTCTTTATCAATACTAATTAAATAATATGATTCAATATTAATATATTAGAACTTATAAAATATTAATATAAATTATAAACATACTATTCTCAAAAGACAATCCATATAAATTGTTCCGGTGAAGTGCAGCCCAAAAGGACCATGCCAAATCGGGTAAAGTACATACCAATTATAGTTATGGGCTTAGACACTAACCCAACAGTAATAACTTAATGGTATAAGCGCTTAATGGAATTTGGGACTTGCGAGGGTACGCCCCGCATACCTCCAGAGTACGCCTCGCGTACACACCCTGAGTTGACTCGGTTGGGTTCACTCGGTCGGGTTGACTCGGTTGACCTAGTTAGTTTGACCAATTGACTTTGAGTAGTTTGAACAAGTTTCACCTTGAGGGTATTTTAGGTATTTTTGAGATTTTGATTTTGATTGGTCACTTAGAAGAATAAGTGTCAGTCAGAGCTAAGATTCGAAGTCGGAAGGTGAGTTTTCCTTACTGTACTTATGGGTCGAAGGCACTAATGTCGTCCTTTAGATTGTTATTCTAGTTTATCATCTGATTGAGTATTGTATGATCTGTTACATCTGTATCCATGTTGATAGGATGATGATATGGTTAGTGATTTGCTAGATCTGCCCGTTATTTGTTCTAGCTATGTGTTTACCAGTCGCATGTGTTAAGGTGGTGCGGTTGGGTTTAGACTGTACTGCTTTGTGCTACCAGTCAACAAACATGGTAATATATATATATATATATATATATATATATATATATATATATATATATATCGATATGTTGTATGTATGCTTATATGTTATGTATATAGCGTCATAGTTTATGTGTGGCTGGGTTGAGGTGGTCCTGCTTAGTATTGAAGGCCAACAGACCTAGGGAAGTCCGAATAGGATGAAGGCCCATGAGGCAGACCAGTCAGACCGAAGGCCCGAAAAATAGTCCAGACAGGCTGAAGACCCGGTGAGGCAGTCCGGACATGTTGAAGGTTCTGTGAGTGGTCCAGACAAGCTGAAGGCCCGGTGAGGTGGTCCAGACGGGCTGAAGGCTCTATATGCATGTTGTTTGTTGGTATATGTTATCTGTTTGTGTGGTGGTACTTTGGGGGAACTCAATATGCTTTATGCTTATGATTTCAGTTTATTGTTTCAAGTGCTTCAGATGTTTTTGGCAAGGCGAAGGCGTGACCGTACACATCCTTGGTTTTACAACTGTGTGGATATTGGGATACTCTTATTTTAAATCATGTTTTCGAAAAATGGTTTTGTAAACATTTTTATTAGTAAATGGGTTGATTAAGATTCTTCCATTTTCTAGTGGTAGAGTGCCTGTGGGAGCAAGCAGTGCAGAAATGGAAGTGTGCCGTAGTGTTTCCGGGTTCTTTGTTTCAGGTGAGTTTTCCTCACTATACCTGTGGGTCGAAGGCACCAACGTCAGCCCACTATTTTTGGTTATCATTTGGTATAAGGATACCCTAGGGACTATATGTAGTCAAATAGGATAGATTGTAGACTCTTGATCTTGGCTTTCTTTCAAGTTCCTCATTTGGTTATGGCTCTAGAGTAGGATCATCTGTTTGTGTGTATATCTTACCTACATGACTACCTTTAAAATGAAAAAACAATGTTTGATTTTTAAATAATTATAATGATATAAATTAAAACATTAAGCAAATAAATTTTAAAAAAAATTAATTAACAATAACAAAAACTGTAAATAATATTAAACCGTATATTATATTTAATTGATTTATGTGTAAATTGCGGATAGAAGTCATTTAAACGATTGAGATTATGCAGTTATATAAATGTATATATTATCATATAATTCAAAATAAGCAATATATTATATCAATTTAGTATACGAATTATTATATCAAATTTAACAACAACGTTATTGTTATACTTAATAAAACATATATTTGTAAAGACTTCAACCGTATATTATATTTAATTGATTTAGGTTTAATATGTTGTTATATGTAAACCATTATTATTAAGCTATAACTTTTAAAAAAATTATAGAAAATACTTAAATTGTTAATTTAAATATAACCTTATAGAATCAACTTAAAAATAAATTTTAGTACAACTTAAATAACTCAAATAATATTTTGTAAATAGTTAAAAGTGATAAATTGTAGTGTCTTTCTAATAATTATTATAAGCTGGTTAATAAGGTTAAATAAGTATCAAACGTAAAATGTAATCATAAATAAACTAAATTTCAATATTAAAATAATATTTTTACTTTTACTTATAAAGTTATGTCTTTAACTTTTAACATAATATATACTCAATTTATTAGATTTAATATATTGTTGCATGTAAACCATTCTCAGTTTAAAGGTACAACTTTTAAACATTTTGGACAAAATACTTAAATTATTAACTTAAATATGACATTACAGGATCAACTTCCATATAAATTTCAGTTTCACTTAAAAAACTCGAAAAATATTTTAATATATAAAATTGATAAATTATAGTGCTAAATGCAATAACTAAATTGTAATATTAATTTAACTAAAATATTTCCTAAATATATTTTTATAATTGTGAAAAAATTTCAAATAAGTAGCTTAAAAGAATTTATAATAACAATAGTTAAAAATAACTCGATATAAATAATTATATTGTTACATTTAAAAAAATATTTGATATTTTAAATAATTACAATGATAGAAATTAAAACGTTAAGCAAATAAATTTAAAAAGTTAATTAACAATAATAACAACTATAAATAATGTTAAATCATATATTATATTTAATTTTGTTAATGAGTAATTCGCGGTTAGAGATCATTCAAAAGTTTAAGATTATGCAGTTTTATTAGATATATATATTATCATATATTTAAAATAATCAATATATTATATTAACTTAATATATAAATTATTATATGAAATTTAAAAACAATATTATGGTTATATTAAAATATATATATATATATATATATATATATATATATATATATATATATATATATATATATATAGGGTTAGGTTCGTTTGAGACCACCTATATTTTGTGAGACCGTGAGATGCATTTTTCTATTTATTTTTTTATTTTTTAAAATTTTTTTTTTAGTTAATTAATGTTCCGAAAATAATATTTAAAAAAAGAATTTTTGGATTTTTCCATTTATTTTGCATTTTTAAAATTATTTTTAGATTTGGTCTTACGGTCTCACAAAATTAGTATGATCTTAAATTAACGTGAACCTATCTATATATATATATATATATATATATATATATATATATATATATATATATATATATATATATATATATATATATATATATGTTCCGCGCAACACGGGCGGGCATGTGCCTATGTGCCTAGTAATATAATAATGGATATATATTAGAATTACGTTTCTACCCTTAACTACAATAATTAAAACTGCTGATAAATCAAAGTCTCATCATATACTATCACAATTCCTAACTTTTACGGCAAGTCTACACCTTTTTTCGTCACAGTTCATGACAACACATAAACTACAAATTTTCTCACATTTAAATCTTTGTTACATTACATATTCATCACGACGTGAACAATTTTGGTGTCAATAGAACTACACCCTTGGAAGCTTTTTGGAAAGTACATAAACGGACAGCCAAACAAGCAGTAGTAGCGTTATGGAGGATAGGAGCGACAGAACAATAGACCCTGCAAGGTGAGAGCAAAAGGAACCGAACTCATCACAGACCTTTTTCCAATTGGTATGAGAGTTTCCTTTGAGTCCAATGTATGCTACTCCTCCCGCCGCTCCTGTTGCTGCAGCCACGATACCTAATAACAGCTGCATGATTCCCATTGATTATATGTTAGTTTCCTTGTTTTGATATGATATAGTCTTACATGTTTCTTGAAATTATATTATACTTTACATCATGATATTTGCATGAAACGTATAAGGATCCATGTTAATGAAATGAATACGCTTGTATAGCTTACAGCATCAAGTATCACAAAATGAAACTGCAGCTTTGTCCAGCTTCCTCCCGGCTTCATCAGTGCAAACACCGATAACACACCCAGTAATGATGCTGTATAAGCATGCCACTGAGAGCGCTGCTATAGCGTATCTGCATCAAAAGTCAAAACAACACGTTTGAGTTAACAACGAATGTTAAACTTGTAACTCTTTTGTTCAAAAACCATACTAGTACAAGTTCGGTTGAAGTAAGTTGGTTACATGAAAGCTGGGGACTGAGTGAATTTTGCTTCCAATGGTATTGCGAAGCCCGGAAAAAGTGAAATCAGTTTGGTTTGTTTAGAAGTGGCCATAATAATGACTGACGCCATGGCTGTTGCAAACAGGAACATCCTTAAAGCAACATCAAGAGCTGGACCCCAAGAACCCTTGTATTGTTGTGGTAGTTGTGAAGATTCAGAGGTTTCTCTGTGGTGGCATGTGGAGGAGTTGTGGTGTCAAGTGATGCCATGGCTGCCGGAATGTGAAGTGGCAAATTTAAGTGTGTGTTTCTGAGAAAGTGTGAATTGGAGTTGGGCATATAATGTGGATTTATACATGATCAGATTAATTAATTGATTTGGCACCATATTCGTAGGAAATATACACACGGCTTCTGTGACTTATGTCAAATGTCATTCACGAATCGGGTCCAAAAATGTCTACTTCGACACTAACTCTATTCGGAATTTTTTGATGCATGTGATAACTTGACTCTAATCGTCAACGTATTTCAGTCTATTATCCTTTAAAATCCAACAATTCCATATATACTTTTATTAATTGCGGATTTTTATTTAGTAGCAGAAAGCGATCATCAATTTTTAGAGGCGTATGTCCAGTGGGGTAGGATGTGCAGTTGTATGGGTATTGTATGGATAGAAGAGTGACGAGTGAAGTGTGGAGTTGTATGATAATACAATGGTTTTACAGAAATTAATTTTATTTTTTATAAAAGGCTATTTTTTTTCATGTCTATTCAGCAATCATTTTCAACCCTTCATACTTTTAATTAATATCTACGAAATCATTATTAAACTTAAATGAGAGCTAATTTGAAAGGCAAATCCTCAAATCTAGGCAAATAAAATTTTTCCAAATTTTGTGTGTTTCGCCTCAATCAAAGATGGTCTGCGATTGACCACAAAAATCATTAGTATTTCATGATTTATCGCCATGTTTTGTTTTATTATTAGTTATAGGAACCTTGGATTTGGTTTGTTGAGTTTTGAAGGCATGTTTAGTGTTTTAAAATTCACTGAAGCAGATTATGGTACTCGTTAAAATAGTATATGGTAAGGTGAACGGTGGTAGATTCATCCATGGTGTTGTTTTAGTTTAGAGAAAGAAATTGATGGTTAGGCATGAAGGTATATTTAGTTGTTTCTCGGAGAAGGTTACAATGTTTAATTTTAATCAATACAAACTGTGAGTGTGGGACAGAGTGTTATTAATCAGCATATGTTTTTCAAAATCTAGGTTCTATTTGTATAGATTTTGATTAAAACAAATTTAGAATTTTGTTTATATGTTCACGTATTACGTATTGAGCAGAAAGATATTTTGATTGTTTTTTAGTGTAATTTATTAAAACTTAATTTGAATTTCATGTGTGTATATTCGTTTATTTATTTATTAAAACATTATTTGAAATGTTATGGTGGTTTTTTTTAATTGGTTTATTGTCTTTATCATATATAATATCATATGAATAAAATACAGATGTTGTTTTAAGGGAAATATTTTAAGAAAAATTTTAGTAAAATCTTAAATTTTATTTTTTTAATAGAAAAATCCCGATTTATTGACTTTTTAAATAGAAAAGTTCAAGAAACTGATTAATTTATTTACTTTAGTCATTTTTTACTTATTCAGCAGTTCATACGATTAAATCGTTAATTTTTTCAAAACAACAAGATTTTTCTGCAGATTTCGTCAAAACTTATATATAATATATAAACATGTTTTTTACGTATTTATATCTAGTTTTACGTACTTTTGTATGTTGTAAGTTTTTTATATGTATATGTTTTCGTATTTTAAATCTATAAATGTATTTTTTTACATATATATATATATATATATATATATATATATATATATATATATATATATATATATATATAAGTATTGTGCACATTTTTTTTATATATTTTTATGTTTAATTGTTTATGTATTATGTATTTATATATATTTATAGGTATTTATGTCTTTTTGTAAGTTTTTATATATACATGATTACATTGTTTATGTATTTTAAATTTATAAACATATTTTTTTAACGTATTTATATGCATTTTAAGTATTTTCTATATTTATTTATTTATTTATTTTATGTTTTATTTTTTTTACGTATTATGTATTTATGTATTTTTTTAACTTGTCTATATAGACGTTTATGTATTGTTATGTATTTTAAATGTATAAACGTATTTTATTACATGTATATATGTATTTTTTTAAGTATTTTACATATTTTTATGTATTTTGATATTTTTTTATCTATTACGTATTTATATATCTATTTTTATGTATTTATATATTTTTTAAAGTTTTTGTATATCCATGTTTATGTATTTTAAATGTACAGCTATATTTTTCTTATGTATTTATGTATTTTTTTACTTCAAGTCATCTTCACCATTTCATCCGATTCATACAACTTCTTTAAATATGTCTAGACGGTTTTCCTACATACTTATATATTTTAACTTTTTCCTTTTATCTTATCTTGAAATTAAACATCGAATGGGAAAAAGTTAAAATATATGAATATGTACAAAAACCATCTACACATACTGGAAAAAGTTATGCGAATTAGATGAAATTATGAAGACAATTTGAAGTAAAAATACATAAATACGTAAAAATAATACAGTCAAACGTTTAAAATATGTAAAAATACATACACAACTATATAACAAACGAAAAAATATATAAGCATGCAAAAATTCATATAAATACATAATATATACAAAACACATCAAAACACACAAAAAATATATAAAATATTTTAAAAAATACATATAAATATGTAAAACACCACGTTTATACATTTAAAATACATAAACATCTATATAAAAAACTTAAAAAATACATAAAAATACATAAATACGAATTAAATGAAATGTTGAACACGACTTAAAGTAAAAATACATAAATACGTAAAAATAATAAACATTTAAAATACATAAGTACCTATATAAGAAACGAAAAAAATACATAAACGACTACATAGAAAACACATAAAAACACACAAAAAGTATGCAAATTAATTTTAAAAATACATATAAATATGTAAAACAATACGTTTATAAATTTACTGTATATAAATATCTATATAAAAAAACTTAAAAAATACATAAATACGTAAAAATACATAAAAAATATATAAATATATAATACATAAAAAAACAACATATAGAAATACATTAAAAAAATATGAAACAAATATAAGTAGTAAAAAAAAATATATTTATACATTTAAAAATACATAAAAATACGTAAATATATACATACAAAAATTTAAAATACATAAATACGTAAAAATAGATATAAATACATAAAAAATACGTTTATACATTATCTACAAATTTTAACGAAATCTGCAAAAAAAGTCTCATCATTTTGAAAAATTAACTATTTTGTCTCATGACGTGCATAACAGGTCAAAAGGGCTAAAATGAATAAATTACTTATTTTTTGGGATTTTCTATTTAAAAAGTGAAAAAGTCATGATTTTTTTTTTTTCAAAAATTAGAATTTAGGATTTTATTAAAAAAAATTTCAAAATATTGAAATTTTTTTGAAGATTTCGATTTGTTTTAGAGTTTTTTTTATTGCTTGGAATTTTACTCATAGATTTCATGTAAAATTTGCATTGACAAATTGTAGATGGTTAAAATCTTACAATTCCATGTAAATTTGCGTTGACAAATTATAGTCGGTTATAATTTTATAAATTTTACGTATAAACTCATTTAATTTATAAAAGCTTTAAGTTTATGTTTCACTGTATAACATTATTATCTTTGACAAGATCTAGAGGTTTTTCTTACCTAATATTACATATAATATTTTGTATAAAAAGTTATACAAATAACCTGGAAAAAGTTTGATATGATTTCAAACCTTTATTAAAAATATGAATAATTTTGCTTCAACGAGCCCTTCAAAAAAACGTAGAATTAAAATTTAAACAAAATTCTTCTTTAGATAAATAGGCTCATTAAATAGACCAAATTATATATATAACACATATTTTAACCAATAAAAAAATGACAACACATCACTTCCACAATAATTTCCACAATATATTACTTGTGAAAAAAAAAATGGACACGTATCATTTGATTATTGGTTCCAGTAGATGTTGTCCTAGTTATTTGTTTTCCATAGAATTCATTCCTCTATATATATATATATATATATATATATATATATATATATATATATATATATATATATATATATATATATATATATATATATATATATATATATATAACATCTTATTATTATTTATTTTGTTTGAAAACCGACAGTAATGAAAAACAATTAATAAAAAATTATATTTTTTATCACATACATTTCAAAACATAATAAATAGGCTCGTTAAACATAACAAATACAAGCATATATATATATATATATATATATATATATATATATATATATATATATATATATATATATATATATATATATATATATATATAGAGAGAGAGAGAGAGAGAGATGTTCAAATGAGAACAATTCTAAATTTGAGAACAAATGAGAATAATTTTATACCACCTATTCGTTAAATGAAGAAAAAAAGGTGTCATTTATGTTTACTTAAAGGAAGGGCTTATGTGTAATTTAACAATATTTCTATTCTCTATGCTTTGCTTAGTCTCGCACAAAGTAGCCGCACCCCACTCTGATCCTTCCCTCCGCCCAATACCGCCTACTCTCATTATTCTGAAAGACACCCTCAGTCACTAGTGAAGTTTACCACCACTGGAATCGAGAAGCTGGTTTTTGATGAAATCAAGAAGATAATTGAAGTATTGGATCAATCGAAAAAAGGAAAGGAGATGTCAATCGCTTAGATTGAAGGAGCTGAAGCCCTTGTTCTCATGGAAAATCTCTGATAATCCATCACCAAGTGAGTACACTTATCGATTTGATTTCACAAGTTACTTCGAATTAATTATGAGAAAGAATTTGGTTATCCCTTTTAGATTCGATTCATAGATTGATCTAGGGCTTAGTGGAATCCTATTATAAAGCCTAACTTAACGCTAGTTAAAAAATCGACAAAAATGGGATCCTTATATGGTGAAAGTTAACATTGAGGAAGAGTTTTTGATGTCACACACCAACTACTTGATAAAAGTCCTCTTAGAATTTTTCATACTGGAGTTGGATTCATGGATTGGTCTAGGGCTTAGTGGAATCCTATTATCAACACCTTAACTTTGAACCCTCATTAAGCCAAACATTAAGGCCCTTAGGTTAAATTGAACTTCACATCTCTATAGCCTAATAAGTAACCAACAATCATGTTAAAAGTGATAAACT